GTCGTTTTTGTGTTAGTTTGTACAACTTTCTACAGGTAAATTACGTGAGTCATCGAACCAACACCTTAGGAAAACGTGCCTAGATGACGTAGTTACCGCCGCACCGTACCTCGTTAGTCGGACACCGTAACGACTCCACAATGACCTACGGGTCCTACGAAGTTATCGCCGGAAAATCGAAGTAAGGTGCGTAACAACACCCAGACCACGAGAAAGCGAAGAAGAAGTGTTATGGGGTGATAAGAGATACCCCAAAGTCCAGTCCCTTAAACGTCCCGGATTAAGCGCTCCCCTGTCATTACGGTTTTTTTTTTTACTTGGTCTGAGGAACTATTCTAATTTTTTGAGATAGGATTTTTGAGTTTTCTTAAGCTGTATGCCATAATCAGCAATATTAAAATAATAAAAGGCTTGCAATATTTCAGTTGATTTGTAATGAATCCAGAATGTATGACATTTTTGTTTTTTTTAATTGCATTACAGAAAATAAAGAACTTTATCACAATATTCTAATTTTCTGAGACAGTCCTGTAAAGGTGACCATGCCTTTGTTTTGACGGCAAATTATAAAAAAACACTGATAATCAAAGACGTGTTCCGTTGGACCAAAGATGTGATCGACAGACCACTTTATCAAAAACAGATGTGCTCTGGTCGGATTACTCTGACCAATTCCTCTCCTCGTGCATGCATCTAGCCCAGGGGTCTGCAACCTTTTTGACCAAAAGAGCCATTTTGCCCCCTTTTCCACCAATTTTTTTTGTCTGGAGCCGCAACACATATTTGATGGCTTGATTGCTTATAACATTGTATATATTGTTATATCATAGACAAAAACTACAGTTTTTTTGCATTTATTATTTATTACATTATAGAAAACTGTTTACCTCTAATAATAAACAAAGAACTCTTATAAGGATACTACAAAAATACACAGGCCTACTTTAAAATAAATCAACACAGCACTTGGCCTGCAAGAAAAGGCGCTGGTGCGGGACCGCAGCAGGATATGACGCATAGTTTAGTTGACCTAATTAAAACCGTTTCTTTTTTTTTTTCATGTGTCACAGTATCACCTCAAAATACAAGATAAAAATAGTCCTACAAATATTTTTATTTTATTTCCTTCTTATTTTGGCTCTTATCCTTCCTCCTTTCCATCGCTTTACATTCTGAAACCGTAATTCACCGCCTTTAATATCCCACCCTCAACTTCTACCCTCTTCCTGTTCCCTATCGGCAAATCTATTCCCACATGAACCTTTGCCTTCCTCAACTTTATCGTGCTTTTATTTAGCGAAAGATAGGTTCCCTCAGCCACTACCCCCCCCGCCTTCCTCCTGCCCATCCCTCAATAGCAACAGTATTACAGTTGTTATGCTGGCTGCTTGCAGCTGGCTCCATTCAAACCAACTGCTCCCCTTCATTAAAGCCTATTATCCAGATGTAGGCAGCTGCACGGTCTCCATCGCCTCTACCACATTCCCTGACCTAACACACATAAACACACACACACACACACACACACACACACACACACACACACACACACACACACACACACACACACACACACACAGGCATAAATATATACAAGCATGCCTAACAACTCACATACACACATTTACCAGAATGTCGCACACATAAGTACAGTATTTCTTTCAAACACTGCAACAGCTCCTCCCGCCATTGTTTATGTCATACTTAATAAGATGCCAAAACACTCCTGTACACACTCCCATTAACATGCCATTATAGAAATCCCGCTGGCCCTCACACCTGCCCCCCCCGCCAACCTTGTCCATTTTGTCAGCATCAGTTTGAAATGCAATCACTTACAGAGAAACTGAAATAAGCAGCAGAGCGCAGAAAAGCTGGTGGATCTAAGCAACAACACATGTTGGGTTAAGAAGCTCCATGCTATATGAATGAAATAAGGGATAAAATAAATATCTCTCCCACAAAATAATCATTTGTATAACAAATACTCACCCTGTGCTTTGACGGCGAAAGAACAATCCATAGACTGAGAAGGTCCTAGATGAATTCAAGTCTGCCGCTTTAACCACTGAAAAATATACTCAACGATCAATTCACTAATTCTCACAAGACTAAGGCTGCACTCACATGATACGCGATTGGCATTTTTCTCAACGCATGGTTAGGCGCATAGTCTTGCGGTGAAAACATCCTGTTAGTTTCATTTGTACCGTTACCTCGCCTGCTAGCTAGCGCCGCTAATTACAGCTGTCATCTGATTGATTTAATGTCGAAAGGTCGGTGGTGAACAAGGTCAATGTTGACATAAATTGAACTTTGAGAGGTGCCCTCAGGAAGAATTTCGAGCAGTACACAGCTACGAGGATAGCGCTTCCGCCAAGTTGGCGGCACCGCTCTTTTAAAAAAACACAACGACAACGTCAGTGCAAAGCCATTTTCTGCATATATAGATGTCTTCTTAGTTTTTGTACTTTTTTTTTTGGAAGCAATTCAATTAACTGGTGAAATTATAAAGTAAATAAGTAACTCATGAAATAAAGTAATTGATGTTTAAAAATATACCTTATAGTATTTTTTTATTGTTTGATGATTTAATGTAATTCAATCCATATTTGTGTCCAGATCCTGTCGGAGTTACAAAAGGACGAGCAGTCGCGCAGACAGCGGCTACGCGGCAAGCTGGAACAGGTCATTGACACCATGGCGCTGGCTAGCTGAGGACCGGCCAATAGCATGCCTCGGCTAGGGGAGAACTGGCCTACCAACACGCCTTCCCTGACAACCTTGTGACATTTTTTAAACCTCTACATTTGAAGTCTGTCGTCATCACGCTCACAAACAACGACAGCAGGAAAAGACTGCATGGACGCCAGCAGCAGCACACTGGAGAGACAGCAGAATTGGGAACTAAGGGTTGCCTTTTTTTTTTTTTCTGAGCCCCGAACAACCAAATCAAGCGCACCCGCAGTGGATATGGACCTCAGCTCAGGAGAGCGCTTATTTTCATCATGGCCCCCATCACATTTAGAGTCCTACGGGTGCAGCAATTGGGCACTTTGGCCCCAATCGGGACCGGAACAGGCACATTGGTGACCAAAAACTCAACGAGCTGGATATAAAACTAAAAAGCTATGGGAAAGCCAGTAGCTCTCCACAGCTTAAAGCTACGGTTCAGACTGAGAACCAATCAAAATCCAGGATATATAAAGCTGCCGCGACTGCAGAGCAACCAGAAAGAATTACTTTGCAGGGAAACTTCCTCCAGTACGGACTCTCCAACCCTCTATCCACAGGAAATCCACTGAAGTCTAACAAAGAACATTTTCAGTTTCATAACTCTGCATTTGATTCCCCCTCCCCAACTGCCTATTCTCCCCAGTGCTGTGCCACTTGTGTTACTGCTGAATTTGCACAACAAAGCTAAATCAAAAGAGAGAAGAGGATATATA